CTGTGCGCGTGTTGATGCTGAAGAAGTTCTGGGGGTTTCCGCTGATGATCTTGTAAGTGAGGCGGTCGGCCGGGGAGGACAGGGGTGTGGCGTCGGGGTCTTGGGCGTAGATCTGGATGACGGAGACGTCTCTGGGGGAGTTCTCTGGAACTGAAGGTCGGTACAGAGGCTCCGAGGTCAGAGGAGCGTTATCGTTCACATCCTCAACCTGAACGAACACCTCGATCGACGCAAACTGAGGGACCACGCCGTGGTCACTGGCGTACACAGTCAGCCAATAGGAGTCCTTGGTCTCGCGGTCCAACATGTCAGTGGTGTAGATCATACCTGATGGAGGAAGGGTAATAATGTATTCAATTATTGGTGCCAAGAAATCATTTTTTGTCAATCAAGCATGTATTTATATCATCAGATTTTTACTAGATTCTTGTTGATGTTTAAACTTTTGGTATCGTATCAACAGTAATGCAAAAATCTTTCACGTCATTGGTCGTTTTTTGGAGGACTGAAATATTTTATTCTGAGTAATCAAAGAGAATCAACTACAATCTACAATAACACTCCCACACCTGATAGTTAACGTGTTAAATATACCTGAAGACACAGCTGTTTAACACAGCAGGCAGACAATGTGTGTGTGTGTGTGTGTCTGTGTGTGTGTGTGTGTGTGTGTGTGTGTGTGTGTGTGTGTGTGTGTGTGTGCGTGCGTGCGTGCGTGCGTGCGTGTGTGTGTGTAGTGCTCTTTATTAGCCATCTTAAGCAGTAACATTGTTTCTGCTTATTAGACCTAGAGGCTGATTCCTCTCGTCAAAAAGCACTTGTGTCCATGTGGACACACACACACACACACACACACACACACACACACCACACACACACACACACACACACGCGTGCAGACACAGGAGTATCTTAAGCATGTAAGTGTAGCTGTTAGCCGCTCCATTTGCTCTGCTGCTCTAATGGAGACCATCATGAAATATTCACTGACCGGCTCACAGAGGAGCTACACAGCTATTACTGTCACACACACACACACACACAACACACACACACACACACACACACACACACAACACACCACACACACACACACACACACACACACACACCACACACACACACACACACACACACACCAGTCTGTTAGTGTGATTGGGTTCCTAAGGTGTAGTCTCTGCTGATGAAAAAATAATTCACCTTTATTCTCAAAGTAATGTTTTAGTTCATCTGTATATCAGTTTTAATTAAACTGTAAATGATTCTCTCTCTCTCTCTCTCTCTCTCTCTCTCTCTCTCTGAAGTGATCTGGAGTAGCTGAAGTATCTGACTGTAGTAGTAGTAGTATTAACAGAATTATTAGTATTATTGTTCTAGAGTAGACTGATGTTCAAGCAGCTTTGTATGAATGTGGGAAAACTGTTCATTCAGAGGGCAGAAGAGGAGTAACATAATCTGCTGTGATTTCATTATTGATCCTATCTAACAATGCTGTTAAAGGTTTCTGCCTGTTAGTGCAGCAACACACAAACATTTTGGCCGAAAGTCCTTTAACAGGATAGCTGCAAGCTACACCCAAAGCTCCTTAAAATTGGACACTGTCTCCTGAGGAAACATCTCGAAAAACATATCAAAAATAATTTAAAAAAGGACATACAATAACACGTTTTAAACCAAAAACAGAAACTGTAGAGTTCACAAATCAATGTTTGGTGGATTAATCCTGGTTTTTAATTCCCCCCGCCCTCCAAGGTGTGACTGAGTGTCTGGCCTGAGGCCTCTGCAGGTATCTGGGGAAGAGCTCTTCAGTGAAACAAAGTGAGTCTCAGGCCTCATGTTGAATTAGGAGGAGATTAATTAGAGCAGTAATTAGTGTTCTCTCTAATCCAGCTGCAGGAGAACATCTCCTCTCTGCGTTACTACAGGAGAACACCTCCTCTCTGTGTTACTACAGGAGAACACCTCCTCTCTGTGTTACTACAGGAGAACACCTCCTCTCTGTGTTACTACAGGAGAACACCTCCTCTCTCTCTGTGTTACTACAGGAGAACACCTCCTCTCTGTGTTACTACAGGAGAACACCTCCTCTCTGTGTTACTACAGGAGAACACCTCCTCTCTCTCTGTGTTACTACAGGAGAACACCTCCTCTCTGTGTTACTACAGGAGAACACCTCCTCTCTGTGTTACTACAGGAGAACACCTCCTCTCTGTGTTACTACAGGAGAACACCTCCTCTCTGTGTTACTACAGGAGAACACCTCCTCTCTGTGTGTTACTACAGGAGAACACCTCCTCTCTGTGTTACTACAGGAGAACACCTCCTCTCTCTGTGTGTTACTACAGGAGAACACCTCCTCTCTGTGTTACTACAGGAGAACACCTCCTCTCTCTGTGTTACTACAGGAGAACACCTCCTCTCTCTCTGTGTTACTACAGGAGAACACCTCCTCTCTGTGTGTTACTACAGGAGAACATCTCTCTCTGTGTTACTACAGGAGACACCTCCTCTCTGTGTTACTACAGGAGAACACCTCCTCTCTCTCTGTGTTACTACAGGAGAACACCTCCTCTCTGTGTTACTACAGGAGAACACCTCCTCTCTCTGTGTTACTACAGGAGAACACCTCCTCTCTGTGTTACTACAGGAGAACATCTCCTCTCTGTGTGTTACTACAGGAGAACACCTCCTCTCTGTGTTACTACAGGAGAACACCTCCTCTCTCTCTGTGTTACTACAGGAGAACATCTCCTCTCTGTGTGTGTTACTACAGGAGAACACCTCCTCTCTGTGTTACTACAGGAGAACATCTCCTCTCTGTGTGTTACTACAGGAGAACACCTCCTCTCTGTGTGTTACTACAGGAGAACACCTCCTCTCTCTGTGTGTTACTACAGGAGAACACCTCCTCTCTCTCTGTGTTACTACAGGAGAACACCTCCTCTCTGTGTGTTACTACAGGAGAACACCTCCTCTCTGTGTTACTACAGGAGAACACCTCCTCTGTGTGTTACTACAGGAGAACACCTCCTCTCTGTGTGTTACTACAGGAGAACACCTCCTCTCTCTCTGTGTTACTACAGGAGAACACCTCCTCTCTGTGTGTTACTACAGGAGAACACCTCCTCTCTGTGTTACTACAGGAGAACACCTCCTCTCTGTGTGTGTTACTACAGGAGAACACCTCCTCTCTCTCTGTGTTACTACAGGAGAACACCTCCTCTCTGTGTGTTACTACAGGAGAACACCTCCTCTCTCTCTGTGTTACTACAGGAGAACACCTCCTCTCTCTGTGTGTTACTACAGGAGAACACCTCCTCTCTGTGTGTGTTACTACAGGAGAACACCTCCTCTCTCTCTGTGTTACTACAGGAGAACACCTCCTCTCTGTGTTACTACAGGAGAACACCTCCTCTCTGTGTGTTACTACAGGAGAACACCTCCTCTCTCTCTGTGTTACTACAGGAGAACACCTCCTCTCTGTGTTACTACAGGAGAACACCTCTCTCTGTGTTACTACAGGAGAACACCTCCTCTCTGTGTGTTACTACAGGAGAACACCTCCTCTCTGTGTTACTACAGGAGAACACCTCCTCTCTGTGTTACTACAGGAGAACACCTCCTCTCTGTGTTACTACAGGAGAACACCTCCTCTCTGTGTTACTACAGGAGAACACCTCCTCTCTGTGTTACTACAGGAGAACACCTCCTCTCTCTCTGTGTTACTACAGGAGAACACCTCCTCTCTGTGTTACTACAGGAGAACACCTCCTCTCTCTGTGTTACTACAGGAGAACACCTCCTCTCTCTCTGTGTTACTACAGGAGAACACCTCCTCTCTGTGTTACTACAGGAGAACACCTCCTCTCTGTGTGTTACTACAGGAGAACATCTCCTCTCTGTGTTACTACAGGAGAACACCTCCTCTCTGTGTTACTACAGGAGAACACCTCCTCTCTCTCTGTGTTACTACAGGAGAACACCTCCTCTCTCTCTGTGTTACTACAGGAGAACACCTCCTCTCTCTCTGTGTTACTACAGGAGAACACCTCCTCTCTGTGTGTTACTACAGGAGAACACCTCCTCTCTGTGTTACTACAGGAGAACACCTCCTCTCTGTGTGTTACTACAGGAGAACACCTCCTCTCTCTCTGTGTTACTACAGGAGAACACCTCCTCTCTGTGTGTTACTACAGGAGAACATCTCCTCTCTGTGTTACTACAGGAGAACACCTCCTCTCTGTGTTACTACAGGAGAACACCTCCTCTCTCTCTGTGTTACTACAGGAGAACACCTCCTCTCTCTCTGTGTTACTACAGGAGAACACCTCCTCTCTCTCTGTGTTACTACAGGAGAACACCTCCTCTCTGTGTTACTACAGGAGAACACCCTCTCTCTCTGTGTTACTACAGGAGAACACCTCCTCTCTGTGTGTTACTACAGGAGAACACCTCCTCTCTGTGTGTTACTACAGGAGAACATCTCCTCTCTGTGTGTTACTACAGGAGAACACCTCCTCTCTCTGTGTGTTACTACAGGAGAACACCTCCTCTCTGTGTGTTACTACAGGAGAACACCTCCTCTCTCTGTGTGTTACTACAGGAGAACACCTCCTCTCTGTGTTACTACAGGAGAACACCTCCTCTCTCTCTGTGTTACTACAGGAGAACACCTCCTCTCTCTGTGTTACTACAGGAGAACACCTCCTCTCTGTGTTACTACAGGAGAACACTCTCTCTCTGTGTGTTACTACAGGAGAACACCTCCTCTCTGTGTTACTACAGGAGAACCTTCCTCTCTGTGTGTTACTCAGGAACACCCTCCTCTCTCGTGTGTTTACTACAGGAGAACAACCTCCTCTCTCTGTGTTACTACAGGAGAACACCTCCCTCTGTGTGTTACTACAGGAGAACACCTCCTCTCT